TGGCCAGGAGCGGAGATAAAAGACGTCTCGCGCGGAATAACAAAGTAGCGGCTAAGCAACGCGCCGCCGCTTTAAGCCGCGCCTTTCGGCTGCGGCAACTCGCTCCTCACGTTATAAACGCGCAATTCGATTTCGAGAATCCGCGCGAGCGATCTTATTTTACGGCGACGCGAGGCTAGTCGCGTTGTACACACCTCCACAAGATAGATGTTAATTCCAAGATGGTATTGTGCTCCCTCGGCATTTGCAGGTTTTAACGAGGTTTCGTCCCCGTTGTTTCTACAGTTATATTAATATTGATACATCAGCAGCATCGCGCTCACGCAAATTTACATAAGAACGTCGTCATAGCGCATAAACGTGTCGACCAATGAAACGCCCGACGTAAGCCGCTGCATTGTACTGCGAAGCTTACACCGGCAGTCTCATTGGTCGAGACGCTTATACGCTATGCTCTTATGTAAATTTGCCTGCGATGGGCTTTAGTTTGTGCTTTTACAAAAGCGCAACGCTAAATAGCGCGGTCCCGCCACAGCGATACGCGAAATGAACAAGGCGACGTTCCTCGTCAAAGACGAGATCCCGCAATGATCCCCCTTCCCAGTCTGTGAATTTAATCGATCGACACGACCCAGCCCCCTCTCGCCTCGCAATTTTCGAGCTTCCCTTTGGATTAAACTCCGAGCTTAAGATTTGACCGCGATGAAACGCGTCTTGTCATCCGCTCGTTGAATACAGCCGACATCCTCCTCGGAATCGGGAAAGTCAGTTGAAATTTCATTAAGAAATATTTCCCCGTCAACCGCTTGTCATCGGCTCGCCTCGTAAATGGTAAGAAATAATCCAAAGAGGACTTTTACGCCGCGTGCGCTTATTACCGACGAAAGCGCTTCGCAAGGGCATCGGAAGAGAGAACACGAACTTCACGAGCCGTGAAAGTGCCGGCGCTTGTAAGTCGAGGAATGTCCACGGCGACGTCACCTGCTCGATCCGCCCCGAGACATTGCCGTCGAGGCATCTGGAAAACTTGCGAATTAAGAGATTCGTTCGACGCGAGCGAGCTGAGGGGAGATCATTCGATTATTTCCAGCCATTAAGGGGCGGGAGGGGGGGCCCTTCCTCGCTCTCGCTTCGCCTCAGCGTCGCGAGGGTGGAACATTCCTCGCAGCTTCTTTCCGAACTTTCGACACGAGTTTTACATTTTGCGCTCGAAGAAGGGTAAAGAGAGAGGAGGGAGGGCATCGGAGGAAAGGAAGGTAAGGAAAAGAGCATGACGAAGAGGAGAAGGAAAGGGAGAGTGTAAGAAAGAGAAAGAGAGGGAGAGGGGGGGCGGCGGCAGGGAGGGGATGAACGAAGGTGGTGAAGTCGAGACGGGGAAAGCGACGGCAGCGACCTTCATCGTGGATTCTTCCTCGGCCGAGAAGGTGGGCTCACGCGCGAGCGACACACTCCACCCTCCTCGTCGCGATTGCTATTCCGGTCTGGCGCGGCAATATTGCGTTACCGGAACGCGTGCTGCAAGCTGAATTCAAACGACCGCGAGCGTGATGACACGACGCCGCTTGTAAGTCACACCGCGCGACGCGCGTGTCTTTTAATTCGCGCGTCACCCCGCACGAAATAAACACCCGGAGATGGGAGAGATTGAGACACGTCACGTTCGCGTGCCGTGCCGATCCGTCTCTATCCAGGCCAGGGATTGCCGGAATCGCGGCCTCGGCGAGTAAGCCAGTTATTTCCACGAGGAGCCATTCTGTCGTTCTGTTCGTGCGAGTAAACGTACGCACGAGAAACTTTTTTTGCGCGATGGCGATGCCTTAATTCACACTGTTTCGCCCCCGAAGACTTCCCGCGGGAACGGCGCGCGACGAGACAAAATTGTTACGGGCGGAAGGGAGCATCCCGCGCAACGGGCAAGCACAGAGAGAGAGAGAGAGAGAGAGAGAGAGCCGACGCGCAAAGCAATTAACTAATTTCCATCCGGTTCTACTTCCGGTTACTCTCTCCGTGCGCGCGCGCGCGTATCAGTTTTCCCGGGGATTTCGATTATTAAAAAAACATCAAAGAGCGGAGCGGCGAATCGCTATTGTTACTCATTTCTAACCGGCTCGGAAATCCGAGCGAGAGAGTTAAACAGCATTACGGCGCGGGCGTGTCTGGCCCGAGGGCGGACATCACAGAGGGCTGCTCGCCGGTGAAAATTTTCAAAGGCTCGACATCGATGGGCTCTCGCTCTCGCGCATCAGGAGAGCACCCGGGACCCTTTTCGCAATTTCTCCCGCCGCACGGGCGCGGAATCAAGTGTTTGAGATTATGACGGTGGCTCCGGTCACGTATTTCATTAACCGTCATGCCGACGGTTCGGGGAGTTCAAGGGCGAGATCTCCGACGGAGGGTGCGGGTACCTGTGCGAAATGTGTTTGCTTTGCGTTACATCCCTCGGGATGATCCCGTTATAATTATGAATGTCGTTGTTGTTGCCGTGGTAAGTGTCAGATATCTCCCGTCGAGAGCGATGTTGCTCCCCGAGTCTGTCCGTCCGGAAACGTCCGTCCGTCTTCCGATTATATTTCTCGCAGTTATCGCTCTCGATGCTTTCGCAACATTGCGTCATTACTTCGGAACAATCCGAACAATCGATCCAGTGACATCCAGTGAAGGCGCTTAGAAATTGCAAGGAAACGGGGGGGTGTCAATTGTCGCGTTTTCTTTCTTCTTCCACGACCATTGATTTTACACAGAATCTCGTTATTACTGTGTCAACATGGGTCCGGGAGCCAAGTGCGTAAGTGCGACGGACTTGGCGATACAATAAAATGAGGTCGACGGAGTTGGATTTAATTGGCGTGCGACCATCCGCGTGTAAATTAACGAGCGAGCCCCTCTCGCATGACAAATTCCTTTATCGAGGTGCGGCGAAGGAGAGAGCGCTCCTTCGCCCGTGAATCGAGGAGCCAGTGTAAATCTGCGGCGGGATATCGGCAGACTCGTTTGCGGCTACACGCTGTACCGTCCCTTTGAAACGAGCAGCGACAGATTGGTATTACCATATTGGGAAAGGGACTAGACTTCTTATTTCCCTATCCTTTTGCCACCGCGGGAAAGGGAAAAAAGAAAGAGAAAAACGGCGCCCTTTCTCTCTCCCTTTCTCTCTCTCTCTCTCTCTCTCTCTCCCCCTCTCTCTCCTCCGCGACCGGCGTCTCGCTTCTTACCTCGATTCTCCATTTCGATCGCCTCTGCGAGGCGAACTTCGTCCCCCTTTCCGACCCTCACCGCCGATACACTCACCCCCACGCGTGTTTTCTCTTACCACGAGTCTTCTCTTCTGGCGCGCCCCTTTTTTTCCATCTCGCACTCATCCGATTCTCGTCCACACGCAGATTTCAATCTTGTTTGGCCGAGGCATCGACACGTCCTCATCTTCCTTTCGATTCTCCCGCAAACTGTTAACCCCTCCTCCCTCCCGCCGTAGCCGCCCCTCACGACACAGCCGCCTCTCCTTCCTCCTCCGTCGAGGCCGCGTTTGTTAAGCGGCTCGTCCGACGGCGGGGAAGGACAGTCGGCCCCTACGCGCCCTATATCGATCGCTCGCGACACATCAGCCGCAGGCTCGCGATTGGGGATCCCGTCGGCTTCCGCAGGAAATTCGTGAGACCCCCTCCCCCCCTCCCACCCCTTCGCCGAACGAAGGACCCTCCGATTTTCGCGCCGCCGCCGCCACCTCCTGCTCCTCCTGCTAGCCCCTCGATGCTCATCGATACTCGAGATATCTCGATTCCGATCGGCAGGCCAACCGCGACCCTTCGTTGCCGAAAAGAGCGAGCCCTCTCGGCGGCCGACTCGGTTCCACTCGGGCCGAGCTCTCGGCCGTTGTTTCCCGGCCCGGGAAAAGTCTTTTCCAGTCTATGAATACATTAGGAGCAAACAAAGGGCTGTCTACTATAATCTCGCGACTCCTTCCTCACTCCGAGGAGGACGTTACACGCGTTTATTAAACTCGGCCCGTCGACGCGCTTTCTGCAGCACTTTGCGAGAGAAACCGGGGCTCTCCCCCTCGCTAGCCTTCGGAGGCTCGATATTCCGCCTCTTTTCACTGCCGGTCGCGCTATTATCGCGAGGAAAAAGCAATTAACATAGAGTCCGTTCGGCCGCCTTGGAGCTGCGCCGGCGTTTGAACAGCGGGGATGGATAATTGCCGGGATAAGTGCAGGATGACGCCGGTCGGGAAACTGACGTTTATTGAAAAGGATCGCGAAGACGCTTTTTAATCAGCATTTAGTGGATCTAAACCATAGACTGATATCCGTAGACTGTGCCTTTCTGCAAAAGGTTTCAAGAAAAGATACAAAGGACACAGCGGATTCCTCTTCCGCTGTGAACAAGTACGGCATATTCGTCTACCTTTCTCCGATAGGAGCCAAGCCAGACAAAGATCGACGGTCTGTGACGCAGGCCGTCCTTGGCAGATTGTGGCCTTCGCGGCCTCTTGTGGAGCGCTCAGTCTATGTGTATACAGGGTGTCTGAAAATTCTTGACACAGCCATCGTGTGTAGCTTCCAGTTTGTATGGAGAAAGGCTTACTTCTTGGGGTTAACAACGTCGAGTATCAGACAGGGAGAGGAGTACTTTTTTTTCGAGGCACGACTCAAACACTGCTCGCTGTGTTACTACTCCGCCTCGCGCTGCCAGCTGATGCACGCCGGTGCTCGGAAATATTGCGTATTCAGAAGTAAGACACTTCAAGCTGGAAGCCATTTTTCAGAACGACTACAGAATCGTCGACAGAATTCGTTCTACCGTTTCCTGGGCGCTTCTTTGCTCACGTCGTTTAGTTGATTATTGAGTAACTATTACAAAATTTACGTGGTTTTTCTCTTCGGTTCGATCCGTTCGATCTACATCCACGGCGACTGTATCGAGAATTTTCAGACGCTCTATATAGATTTGTGATGTAAACGATACGAAACACGTACGAATTGTGCGCTATGTTCTCTTTGCAGACTGAGATCTGCTCGAGCGCTCTCACGGACGTGATTCACGCCGTCATCAATGGAACGGACGGTTGCCTCTTTTGCTTCGGACACGCTGGTTTGGGTAAGTATTATAATTCTTCATTATCGTTCAATATCTGATATTTTAAGCCTTTGCGGTGAAGATGGAAGAAGGGGAGAATTCTCGTTCCAAAAAGAAAATCATTTTACGCAAGTAAGTTCCTCCTCCCGATCTGAAATTTTCGCGCAGCACAAAGCCGAAAGTCAAATCACAGACATTTCTTCATAATTTTTTTTTTGTACTTAATTAATAACATCAATTTTCACAATGTTGTTTGACGCGACGGTTAACATAACTTTTATTATCTCTATTGCGAGTAACTTGAGGATAAATAATTTATTCAACTTTTTCCACATCCGTCGCGCATGTAGCGCGAGATAAAATACGTCGCATAAGCAAGATTCTTTCTTGCATCTCTTGAGGGAAGACGCGTATGAAGCTATCACGAGCTTCCCCCGCAGAATTTAATACATAGAATCCTGTTCCCCAAGAAATAGCGCATATCTTAAAGCCCGCATGAGTCGAGACAATATCTCGCGAGTTCTCCTCCGTTCTTTATTCAACGAGCGCCCGCGTCTCTCATAGGCGAGACTCTCCATTGACACACCGGCGACGCGCGACGCTCGTCGGCAGCAGCCGTGAAAATAATTACGTGAAATGTGAATATCTCGTGGAATTTTTATCTCGCGGGCTTTGCTTCAGTCTAGTGCAATGTGCCAGCACCATATTACGTCTCGTACCGTTTGCCCGATACTGCCGTGATATTTGAAGGGCGCAACGTCACAACTGGACACGACATTCGACAGAAGAAAATTTCCAACATGACATGTGATGAGATAAACAAAAATAAAAATAAAAACAGAGTAATGTCGTGAAATAAATAAAAATACAAAAGCAAAAGCCGTGATATTTGAAGGGTGCAACGTCGCAACTGGACACGACATTCGACACAAGAAAGTTTTCAATGTGTGATGAGATAAATAAGAGGAGAAAATGAACAGTAATGTCTTGAAATAAATAAGAATACAAAAGCAATATTATTATCCTATGAAATGAAATCTTGCCGTGTAATTATACGTTTACGCGATATTTCAGACAATCAGTTTTCGTTAATTATCATTAATTATCTGTCATACGCTATCTAATTTTAAGCAAGTTTTATAGAAAAAAAAACAGCCCTTCTTTTCTCTGTTGCGTACATCTCCCTCTTTCTCTCATTGCTTAATTAAATTTTCCTGTGTTACAAGAATATAGAGACTGAAAAGTAATATTGCAGTTTATCGAATTGGAATTGCTTGGACTGCTCATGCAGCAGTGACGTAAATGTTTTATATCTGGACTACCGTTCGTCCGAATATGTTCAAGGCTATCTCTGCTTGACCCGAGAAATAAATTATTCGGGCATATCGACGATGTCCTTTTGAAGAGGGCGGAGATGTCGCGACGATTCTTTATTTAGGCATTCCCACCTTCATTCGCTCGACTTCTTCTCGTTTCACTGCCGCGAGGAACGCGCCGGCGAAGGCGCGGGGTTGTTTTACATTTTAAGTAGTGATATCGAATTTGCATGCAAATGCACGATTATGCGTGGAAAGTGCTCGGAAGGGAGGAGATCCTCGAGTGGTAATGTCGGCATGAAAAAAGAGCGAGAAAAGGGAAGGTACTAGGAGACGAGGAGGAAGGAGAATGAGGAACGAGGAGAAGATGAGACCGGAAGAAACAGCAATAATGTATGCCACTGGGACACACTTTCTCCCTTGTACCTTTCGAATCTCAACACAACACAACCCGGCAGATCCTCCGCGTCCCGTCATCGCTCGCTTCCTGCGCGAGAGCGACTTCCGAACGAACGGAAGTTCATGGAAATCCTCTCGCGCGGCTTCTACCCCCGCATGAAATATAAATTTTCAACGAGACGATTATTGATGGAGATATTTCCAATCCATGGAGAAATAACATTTGAATGTAAAACGCATTTGGCACTTAAAGCTTGCGAACGTGAATGGAAATATAAATCCAGATATTAAATTGTTTGATAAGGTTTTTTTTTTTAAATTAAACTTTATTTTTCATCACTGATGTTCTCAATAAATCTTAGAAATTTGCGATGCTTACTTCGGTTCAATACGGCAATCGGTGATAGTGGGATAATAATGCCCGTCGACGACGACAAATTCTTTTTACGGTGGCGATCGCAGACGGTGCTCGTTAAAATATTTTTGACGTCAGAGCTAACTGGAATAGAGTTCTGATAACGCGATAGACGCCTTAGCGTCTGCTCTCGCAGTCGACACCAGAACCAATTAAACTTCGTGAAATGATATCTCTCGTCGAGTTTCTTGGCGCTATGTGTATATATATATATATATATTGCTGGAAAATTTTTTTACATCCGACAGACGGACAGCTAAATAAAAGTTTATTTAGACGCGATGCGCGGATAGAGATAACATTAATTGAACGAGGCAGGTTGCATTATTACGCGAACTGACTTATCGTTCGCGTAAATCTCTATGTGATTATCAGAGCAATTGCGGCAGTTATCTCGAGAATCATACGAATAAATCATAACTGTAAAGAAATTTTATTACTGAAATTTACTTCATTGCCGAAGAAAGTAAGCTCGTACAGTTTCGCAAAGCGCGGCTCTTGCTAAGCTTCCGTCCTTCCCGATTCGATACGGTTTCATAATTCCATATCCGCGTTGAGAAATCGTGTTCTTTTCTCTCTTTCTCTTTCTCTCACCCCCTCTCTCCCTCCCCCCCTCTCTCTCTTTCTCAACATCGAAGTTCGCGCAGTCGAGCAGGATTTCTCGCTGCGCGCGGGAGGGGAATCGATAAAGTCGAAAATAAAAGGAGTCGCGTCGAGAGATAAGAGCCTAACGGCCGTAGACAAAGAGCCGCGTAAAAGGAAGCCAAACGAACTCGCGGCGTCTTCCCTCTCTCTTTCGAAGGTACTTCAAGCAAGTCCGCGAGCAAACTGCTTTTGATCATCGCTACGAGAACGTTTCTCTCCCTCGTGCTCCTCCGCACTCTCCGGCTTCCGCCGTGCTCGCCCTCATTCTCTCTCTTGCAGATATTCCTCGCACTCCTCCTCTCTCCCCTCCCTACGCATCAACTCTCCCCCAACTCTTTAGCCCCTCACGTCGTCGTCCTCTGACGCGAAGAAGACAAGCGAGAAAAAGGAACCGTCCGCGGTTAGAATAGTGAGAAAGGAACAACGAGCAGAATAAGGGGCGAAGAGGCGACCAGGTAGATTCATCAGGAGAGGAAAGCAGAGAACATGTGCTACGCCAAAGCAATCGAATCAGTCTCCTACGTTCTTTAAAATGTCTCATGCGGCGCTTTTATTTCGCCTTCCATTTCGCGCGCGCGCGCGATATGTAGTCGCGAATTGGCGCAACCGACCGCATCGCTCGCCCACGCGTGCGTCTCTCTCTCTCTCTCTCTCTCTCTCTCTGCCTCTCTGTCATACAAGGCCTGAAAAATCGCGTGTAAAAGGCGTGTGGAGAAGTCGCGGAAGATGGGCTAGAGGGTGTTGCGAGAAGGAAGGGGCGAACAGGAGAAAGAGAGAGAGAAAAAGAGGGTGGGAGAGGAAGAGAAAGAGAGAGAGAGAGAGAGAGAGAGAAACCAGTGCTTTCAAAGCAACGGGTCTTGTCTGTCGCGAGGGGAACGGAAGGACAGAGGGCGTGCGGAGGGCTCTATATAGATATAGTGACGACAATGGGCCCGTTTGTACTTTGTAGCGCGTTCCTAATTACCCCCGCGCGCGCGGGCTCCACGGCGGACACCCCGCCGAACCCTTTGAGATCGCGGAAGGACCGTGAAAGTGGATTATGCAACGACGACGAGGGGAAGAAGCACGCGTGCTTGATGCACCGAAACCTCCCCCACTCTTTCGCTTCTCCCTTAAAAACACGGCGCTTTGACAATGATAATCTTAGTAAGCGATTCAGTCAAAGGAACCTGCGCTCCCGTTACGTTTCTCTTGTTTCGGCCCTGTCCTGCCCGCGGACGGAGGGATTTATCTTGTTTTTGCTAATTTCGCGCGCGTAAATTTTCGTACGACGCGCGCAAGTGCGTTTAGTCCTGTCTGCGGCGCGATGTGAAATTTAGTAGACACGAGACATTTTATCTGTAATTCATTCGTAAATTGGAGCAACCCCTACACGAGGGAAAAACATTTTATTGGAAAATTTATAATGTTATGTAATATTCATATCGAAGTACAAATGTTGTATATTGCAAACATTAATTTATAGTTTGCCCGAATATCCTCTTAATTTTGCAATGTAGAAATTTATGCTTTGCGTAAAATAGTTTCCTATACTATCTTCGAATATTTCCAATGTAAATATTAGCTTATAAATGTTGGTATATTTCAGCCGATAAAAGCTAATATATTTTTTCAACACACAAATGTTGATATCTTCTAGAAAAATTGTTCACGTGCCTTTATCTCTCATTAGATGTAAAGTGAAATTCACCCAAGTCCAAATTTTGATTCTATTTTTGATCTAAATATTTCATATTTGGCGCTAATTTAACACTCTGAAGCCTAATCAACCTATTTTGATTACATTTGACTTACAACTTTGCCGAAAAATCTTTTTGAGAACCTGCAAGTGGCAAATTGTGCATTTGCTGCCATTTAGAGGCGCTCTGAGAACTTCAATTTCATATAAATTAAATCTCCATTGGTTCTTCAGAATCTACAGATGCTGGACAATTCGGATGGAAAATGAAGTCAAAGTTTCGGCTCGGCGGATATCAACGATTTACGATGCCATAACTTAATTCTCACAAACACCTCGATTTTCAATCGATTCAATGTGATATTGAAGTTTTCTATATAATTTTCTATAATTCCACGTTTTTGGAGATATATAACAAATATATATATATTTGTTATATATGACACACATATATATATATATATATGACAGGTGATAAATCACAATTGTAACTACTGCTTCCGCAATTAAAAAGAGTGAAATAATAAAAAGCGGCACGAAAGTAATAATAAACACAATTCCTACCACGCGATCCGCATTGGTATTGACGTTTTTTCTCAGGTAACGAAGCACTCGAGCGGAATTTTAATTATCACTCGCATTCAGCTCAAAGTATCCCTATGCGTGAGTGTCGCGCCGTCGTCTGAGAATGCAGCGGCCGCTGCTCCGGTTTTTCTGCTTCATCGTCGTCAGCGACGATAGCGGCGGCGGCGGCGGCGGCGGCGGCGGCAGCGGCGGCCTCGCGAATCTCGCGGTGGCATAGCGTGAATTCTTGCGGAATTTTTGCGGTTCGTTCGTTCTCGAATCTTACTGGGCGGCGGCTGCCGCGGATTCTACGCTCCGAGCTACCGGGAAGTTCTCGAGACGTAAAAGCGGTCCGTTACCGACAAGATGGGCCGACCCCCGACCCTCTCCTCCGCGGCGTTTCTAATTAAATAACAACATAATTCACCGTCTTACATTAAGACAATTAAATAACGTTTAAGATTCAACGGCGGCTGCTGCTTTTCCATTATTTCATCGTTGCCGACGGGCCTCCCCCGTCGTCGGGTTTCTTCTTACGCCTTTCGTTTCAATCTCTCGTCCTTTCCGTAGCGTAACCCTCCTAGGCCATAAGTCCTCTCCGTTCTCGTCGGACTGTTTTATGCTTTTAATAAAAGCTCTTTTATTTCTCTGTCAATAGCGCGGCAGAGCGTTTGAGCACGCTTTCCGTTTCGCCGTAACTTTCGCGCTGAAGTTTCACAGGCGGAATTGAAGTCGCCGTTAAACTCGCGGGATTTTTGCACGAGCCGGTTACTCTCACAATCCCGCGTTGTCGCTTCTGCCTTTCCCTCTTAATCAAGTATTAATTTTAATTTATCGCGCATTCATGTTTGCGGCGCGAAGGGCGAAGTAACGATCGATCGTTTCGCCGTTCATCGACTACTTTGTGGTGTCGATGTAATCACTGCTTGTCATTCTAGCTGTTACGTTATCGTTCGCTAAATAGTAAACAAATTAAGCGGGGCCGCTCGGGCCCGACCGCAAATCTGGCATCGCAATTATTGCACCCAGCCGGCTCTCGCACGCTGGTGTACATAAACGGGATTTTCGAACTCGTCCATGTGAATTGATTCGTCGCGACGTACGAGGGGAAAATCGCGATTATGCCAGTCAACAATGAAGCTTGTCCACATACCGGTCGCACCGGTTACGGGCGTTAATTCGATCCTTCCGTCAATAAATCCGACAGTTCGGCAAGAATCGAAATATTAGCTTTCACCCGTCATCGCTCCTGTCGGCAAAAGAGCCGACATCGCATTTCCTCCGTCACGTTATCTCCAAAGTGTCTCTTCTCACCACCTCTCTTCCTGAGAATATATTTTTTTTATTAGGAGTGTAATTTAGTTTTAAAGATTTTTTTTCTCAAAAACTGATTTACTTAAACAAGGTAATAAACGAATACCTACGAATCCAAATATTTTCCTTCGTTCCCTACAATTGTTTCCCGTTTTTCTGACAAGAGATTGACTCCGCGAGAAAGATTCTTCTTTAGAGTCGATCTAATTTTCAACAAATTTGCGCACTTGTTCCAAGTTATGAAAGTGCGTATCCTCTAAAGCATATCGCATCGACCGAAACAAATGATGATCGGATGAAGCAATGTCTGGAGAATACATGGGGTACGATAAGACTTCCCATTCCAGCTTTAATAGCGTTTGCTTCACTGATAAATGCAACACGAAGCCGAGCATTGTCACGAAGGATCACTTTGCTTCGTTTACTCGCAATTGGTGATCGTTTTTGGTCCAATACTCGCTTCAATTTGTATAATTGTTGTCGATAACGATCAGCAGTGACAATTTCATTCGGATTTAGCAGTTCACAACATTTAATAGTACACAACACCTTATTGATCCCATCAAATACACAGCAATATCTTTGAACCGTAAATATTGCGCCTCGAAGTGGATGTTGCTGATTGGCCTGGAACAACCCATGATTTTTTTCGTCTGGGATTATCAAAACAGATCCATTTTTCATCCCCAGTAACAATTTGATACAAAAAACTCTTCATTATTTGTCTGGCGATCAATGAAATGCAAATGTTCAACCGGTTCGCGATGGCATTTTCCGATAATTCATGTGGAACCCATTTTCCTTCTTTGTGAATCTTTCCCATGTCATGTAAACGTTTAGTAATTGTTGTACGATCAATATTTAATGCTCTGGCAAGTTCTGAAGTGGAAGTCTTGGGCTGGAGTCTCGTCCAATAACGCTTGCAAATCTGCATTTACAAGCTTTTTTGATTGTTCCGAACGATCTTTGTCGTTAACATTAGAATTGCCACTTTTGAATCGTCTAAGCCGATATTCACACATCTTGGTTGATGGAACAATATTACCATAAGTTTCTATCAAAATTCTATGACCTTCAGCCGCCTTTTTCTTCTGATTAAAATATAAAAATAACGCTTATCGAAAATGCTCTTTTTAGAAAGCCCCATCATTTTTAAGATGGTATTAACACGATTTTTACTATTGTTGGAAAATGACTAAATATCATGGATTAACATCGAAGCATTGAGAAACAATAGCTATGATTGGAATGTCTTCGACAAAACTGAAATTAGTGCCATCTCTTACAAAATCCTCAAAACTAAACCATATTCCTAATAATTTTTCATTAGACTCATCATGTACACATGCGCGAAAATGAAAAAGGCGGTGTTCGAAAGAGCTCTACCGAGATACATGTTTTGGATGAATTTCATAAGATTTTGGATCATTTCATTACGAAACACTACGTGCGAATGCTCAGATTTGGACAAGTTGATAATCAAATCGTTATCGATGATAACTTTTCTTTTCGTTCGATAAAGACTAAATACTTTATTGAAATCCACACAGATTTGCTTGATATTTTGTCGACGTATAATTGATACACGGATTTTCATTTATCATTTATTTATTTTGATATTCACTTGGTTATTCTGAATTTTAATTTGACATCTAGAAGATCTCGCACAAGTGTCGATCGATTATTAATGATCTCATCAGTGCGACGTTCTGAAAATCTCAAGTGAAATCTCAGATCGTTCGTTTCGGCATGATTTCGGATTCTTTATCGACTCGCGGCCGAAGTAAGCAACCAGTTCAGAGAATTCGTTCAAATTGCGATGAGGATAATCTTCACCTGCGCCGGTCGCGTTCGCGCAATACGTTTACAAACGACGGACAGCTACCGTTTGCTGGACCCTGGGATGATATCTCATTTACATCGCCCGTAATCAGTGCAAGTAATGTCTGACCTCGATTTCTTCCTCGCTGCAATTTCAGGCAAGTCTCACACCATGCTGGGGACTCCGGAAGCCGGTCACACACTAGGCGCGATCCCTTGCGCCATAGCATGGCTTTTCCGCGGCATTTCCGAGCAACGGCAGAGAACCGGCGCCAGGTTCAGCGTCAGGGTCAGCTGCGTGGAATTGACCACCGGCCAGCAACAACTGAGGGACTTGCTTGCGGCGCACGCGAACGGTAAGTAATCTTCCAATTAGTCGAGAGAAGTATCCTCGCGTGAAAGGGCCTGAGCTTTTTTGCTCCGCGACGTTTCCTCGTTCCTGCGACCAATTAACGTTATCCACTTAGCGCCAATCCGCCGCAAACGACGTAGATACGCCCGTCGTGAGCAGCTCACAAAAATACACCGCCCGCTTCTCTCTCTCTCTCTCTCTCTCTCTCTCTCTCTCCCTCTCTGTATTTCGAGAGCGTGCGAGATCGCCGTCGCGACGACGACGACGACGACGCCCGGCGAGAGATTGCCCGGCGATAAACGAATCAACTCAAGATTGTCATAATTAAATGTGGATAATGCGATTACCTCGGCTCGGGCAGATAAAAACGATATTGTAATTCAGCCAAACGGAGATCTCGCGTGGCAATCGACGTTAAAACTTTATCTGCCGCGAGGCGCTTTTATAACGAATAAAAGGCCGATCGTGAGAGATCGTCGGGGAGAACGTCGTTGGGGAAACGATCGTGCGAAGGTGGCCGCGCGGCGCATCGACGTGTACAAATGCGCTGTAATCGGCACGTATGCATTATTCATCGTTCGACGTGACATTATTCAACGGGCGTACGCACATCGTGCAACGCCATTAACATGATTTCCCGTTCGACGTTTGCCGGCTGGATTCAACCGCAGCCGAACCGACGCGACTTCTCATCAAGGAGACTCGCGTGCCCCGCCAACTACTTGTCTCGAACAGTCCCCTTTTTAAAGGAACCACCGTGAGGAAGAGGGCGAATGGGAAGGAAGACAGAGAGAGAGAGAGAGAGAGAGAGAGAGAGAGAGAGAGAGAGAGAGGCAGAAGCGATTCGGCGACTGTAACTGCTCCTCGAGCGATTCGCGGCGGCTGAAACTTTCCCGGGCGTTTCCGCTCCCTGCGATAGGGCTCAGTGTGCTCCCGCAATTAATTCGATGCCTCGAACAATGCGGCCAGGTATAATCGTTTGGATTAATTAGTGTCGAGAGAGCGCGGCGGGAGAATTGTGTCGTCGCGCCGACGCGCCGCGCCGCATCCGGCGGCGTGCAATCCCTGCGCGGTAATTCCGCCGATTTTCAGATCGCGCCGGCATCTCCTCTGACGTAATCGGGACTAATGCACCGCACGACGAGCACAGCTGTTTCTTGATACGGTCGTTTTCGTTTCGACAAACACATTCGAGTTGAATCTGCGTTTAGTTTTGCCTTCGTCTCGAGACCGCCTTAACTTTCGATTATTCGACGAAGGCTCAACTGATGATTGAATTCAAGAAGGCGCGAATAAATGTAATTCGACATGCATACGTCTTTCGTCCCGTTTTATCGCCTCTCCATCGACCATACGACCTGTTTCGCAAATGTTGATTTTACTTTGTATGTTATTCGCCATTTCAACGGCCACACGGATCAATTTCCACCTACAGATCTCGAGAACTTGCTTAGATCGTATGTAAGAGGACGAGCGCCTCTCTTGTATACAAATTCGTAAATTTATTTATTTAAGAACAGTCTATCACAATGATATTTCACTGATGTGAACCTGGCAAGCAAATTAATAAGAAAAAAAATTCACAATACAATCCGATTGTACTTCGTTTGTACCTATTTGTACCACTTTTTGTTTCGTTTGTACCTCGAAGGATAAAAAGATAGGGGGAGGAGGAAAAATAGCCAGGAAGCAAGTATAAGATATCGCAAAACGGCCAACGCCATTCGAAAGAGAATCGTTCGTACCCGTTTGTACCTCTCTTCAAATCGTTTGTACCTCAAAGGAACCGGAAGTACAGGATCTTCAAAAAACGTCCAAGAGATACTTTCGCCAATTTTTGAGACATCGTAAAACAGCCAACGCCATTCGAAAGAGAATCGATTGAACCCGTTTGTACCTCTCTTCAAATCGTTTGTACTTCAAAGGAATCGGAAGTATAAGATCTTCAAAAAACGTCCAAAAGGTACTTCCGCCAATTCTTGAGATATCGCAAAACGGCCAACGCCATTTGAGAGAGAATCGATTGTACCCGTTTGTACCTCTTTTCAAATTGTTTGTACCTCAGAGGAACCAGAAGTACAGGATCTTCAAAATATGTCGGAAGGTTACTTTCGTACTTCCGGTCCCTTTGAGATACAAACGATTTGAAGAGAGGTACAAACGGGTTCAATCGATTCTCTCTCGAATGGCGTTGGCCGTTTTGCGATATCTCAAAAATTGGCGAAAGTATCTCTTGGATGATTTTTGAAAATTCTGTACTTCCGATTCCTTTGAGGTACAAACGATTTAAAGGAAAATATAAACGGATACAAACGATTTTCTTTCGAATAGCGTTGGCCGTTTTGCGATATCTCAAAAATTGGTGAAAGTACCTCTTGGACGTTTTTTAAAGATTTTGTACTTCCGGTTCCTTTAAGGTACAAACGATTTGAGGGGAGATATAAACGGGTAGAAACGATTCTCTTTCGGGTGGCATTAGCCGTTTTCGAATATATTATATTTATTTGTTGGCTATTTCTTCCTTTCCCCCAATCTTTTTATTCTTTGAGGTACAAACGAAACAAAAAGTAGTACAAACAGGTACAAACGAAATACAATCTAACCGTATTGTGAATTTTTTTCTTTTTATTAAGTTGTTTGCCAGGTTCACATCGGTTTATATTTCTGTTACAATTATAACTATACTATACAATTATAATTATACCTTTTTATAAAAACTGTTGGCAGAATAAAATCAAGCGGCTCCGTCAAAGTGTTTAACACGCTCCATACCGCGTGGGCCATCGGTGGTTATGTTTAACGTAATCATGAAATACCATAAAATCATGAAACACTCTTGTGAATATTATGCGACATATGTTGTTTCACAAACATGATAATACGACAACGTGAGTCACATCGGTGACTCACGTTGTCGTATTATAAGTAAGTTACGCAAAATTTATCTGGCACGGAACATGATAACGCATATCGTAATACCGCTTACCGGTAACCATTACGGTAATTAACGTGTCGATATAAAAGTATTTTGTAAATCTTGCAAAGTCCTTTGCTCGCAAAGAGAGAAAAAAGGAGAAGATATCTGAAGATAACTTTTTACGAGAGCGTCTCAGTTGCCATGGACGTTACGTACGCGCAAATTATTTTACATTTATTTGAATCAACCTAAACCATTCGATGAAACGTAATTCCTCGGACGATGCGGTCTCCCTCGATTTTGTCCTCGAGTATTGTCGGAATAAGAACGGTCGTCCTCGCGAAAATACGGATATTTCATTCGAATTTAAAGACAGAGCACGGCTAAAGCCGGAGGCCACGTCGCGTATGAAATTCCGCGCGGAAATTGCAATAGCTCGCACGTCCCATTTGCCTGATACGCGCATTCGACCGAGTCGACGTCTGACGTCTCCGAATCGACGAAAATCGGTCGTGCGGCCGGCCGTGCTCGAAAGCACGAAACGGGGAAATTGTCCTACGCCCGCACTCTCTCTCTCTCTCTCTCTCTCTCTCTCTCTCTCTCTCTCTCCCTCTCTCTCTCGCGACGGTCTCTCGACCGAGAGTGATTCGCGGAGGATTTCGCGGTAATATTCAGGAAGTAGGACGAGAGACCCGGTATTGGCTGCAATTTGGTTTCGTCTTCACGGACGGCCGAGTGGACGACTTGGCCCGTAAAATTGAGGGACAGGATTATTTCCTCCTTCTGCCTCATGTTGACTGCCGTCTCTCTCTCTCTCTCTCTCTCTCTCTCTCTCTCTCTCTCTCTCTCTCTCTCTCTCTCTCTCTCTCTCTCTCTCTCTCTCTCTCTTGCTCTCTGATCTTTGTTACTCGCTTCTTTTTGCGCCACGGGTTTCTCACGGAGTCGCCGAGGACTCGCTGGACTAATAAAGCGCCGTTCCTTCGGAGGGTGGATTGCTATGGTGCACTTATGGGAACGATCGTCAAAGGTCGTCAAGAACATTGCTCTGAAAATTAACCGGGCTGTCCGCTACAAGCTCCAGAAACGACATCTATAAATTTGCGCAATATCTCTCTGATGTCGGACGCTACGCGAGTTATCATCCAGTTATCCAGTCCACGGGCTGCGCGTACGTACGTACGTAGTACGTAAAATTCGAATAAAGCCTCGTAATTGGATCCTTTGCGTTGTCAATTTTAATTTCCCCTCGACATGTGTTTCCATTGTGTATTAATCGCAAGGTGAGATCAAAAGGAACGCGGGCAAGAGGGAGAGTCGAGTAATATATTCCTGCTAATTTGATCAACTTGCAAAATTCTCTCCTTTTCTTGCCGCGCAGAACCATCCGGAATGGAACTATTCAGAGATCGACGGGTACTCCGCGTATTTGTGTACTTGCGATACGCGGTTGTCACACTTCACATCTCAGGATTCTGCAAATCGGAAACTTTATCGCGATGCGCTCAAACGTGTTTTCTCATGGGTATGGCCAAATCCAATTTGCCGCCATGTTACGAGCCACTCCGGGGATCTTACAGTTATGGAAATTAAGACATTTATTGGTGTAACTTACCGAATACCCGAGTACGTGCAATGCGCGCATTCCACTCGTAGTAAAACTCGTGTCAGATGCGTCGTGTTTGAACGCTGGCTTAACGACCGTGCCGAGCATCTTTCCGCTCTCCCTGCTTCCCTCCCCCCTCCTCGAACTAATTAAAATGCGATGGAATTAATTTTCTAGCTTATTAAATAATTAACTCGTATCTATAGAACTATCTTGACTTCGTAAATCTTTCGCCCCCACGTCATTCTCGCAATTCTCTTCTCCCCTCTTTCTCTCTCTCTCTCTCTCTCTCACTCTCTCTGTGTGTCTCCTTCTCTTTCTCTTTCTTCGTTTGCATCTTATTTCAAGCAAAACTCGTTACCAATGGCGTAACTAACGTTTGAAGGACTTATCTGCAGACAAACTCAAAGACCTTTCATCTTGCATGCATGATTATTTCGCTCCTTTCAACCGATCGAGTTCCACGATTATCTTAAATAATACG